AACTCCACAAGTCAGAGGGAAAGAAGTTGACTCTTCACCAAGGGTTCTTACTAGGGCTGATGTTGTGCCATTGTAAGCTTTGATTAGATTGAGCAACTTTGGTCCGATGCGGCCCCCGGTCTTCTTGACAATGCCATAAAAGTCGTATTGGCAACCGGTAATTTTCGGTCATTCATCTTCAGGCCGGTACAACGGCACGGAGGATAAAACGGTCAGTTGTTTGCAGCACTTATGTGGTCATCGGGGTACGGAGGGGGGAGGGGAGAGGTGTAATAAGCCATCTCCGTCTTTCCTCGTCTTATGCGTGCTGGCGCCAGCGTGTTGAGGACGTTGGGTGCGGCGAGCAAAGAAGAGGGTGTTCTCACGGTCGGCGGTTTGGGTTATGTAAGACAGACACGCGGCGTGCGTCTGACTACCCTTTGAGGCGTGGTTTCGGGCGGCGTGGGATTTCCGCGTGTAGTCGGCCAAGCAAGGCAAACTGCTAGTGTCAGCAGAGAGTAGATTTAGCTAAACGGATTGCTACTGCTTCGGCTGTGACTAACACCTGTTTGCTCAGGCGTTTAGAGTAATGTGTCGGTGCCTGGTATATGACCTGAAAGGCCTCTCTCGTGTCAAATGGGTGTTTCGTATTTATTAATTGGGCGAGGTCCAGGTAAGATAGGAGAGGAAAGTGTGACGCAATTCGATTAGCACTAAAATCTTATTCATGTGTAAGGCACTGTCCAAAAGTCCACCCTGCTGTGGGACACACGGTGGAAATCATCATCAGCGACGGCAGTCGAAATGGCGTCACAACTTACCCAAAACAATGTTAAAAAAACTTAGCAGCGATATAAAGGCAGTTGATTACAATAAGTGGTAATGCCCGTTATTAGGTACTACATTCACTGTGTCGAGCGAGCAAAAACGGTTCATTCAGTAGTGGCCTTCATATCCAACATCATGTTATTAGTAGCCCTAGGAGGTGGAAGCGAAGCCTATCAAAAGAAGTATCAAACGTTCTCACACCTCCCGCCATGGTTGACTACGAGGGTCTCGCGTTAAATACACGAAGACAGAATGCAGCTGCACTACTGATTATTCAATTCGACCATTGCTCTTTTATTTTATTCACGACAACCCAACCCAGCAAGTCAAATTAACTGAAAAACAAACCGTCGCCCAACGTGGGATCGAGGCTCTTCGCCTTCAACCAAAGGCCCCCAGACCAGGTGGTTTCGTATTAATCAGTTCAAGGCCATATATAAGCGTTTTACGGCCTTTAGATGCGCCAAACGGAGGTGAAGAGAGCAATAATTTGTAAGTAATTATCTAATTCTGTAGACACATCATATGGACAGATAAAAGCAGGGGGACGGCGCTCTAATCAAAACAGTAGTTAGGGATGAGCACAATAGCGGGGAGGCAGGCATACCGTATGTACAGAAGGTCGAAATTAGAAAAAAAAACAGAACCAATAAAATAGAAAAGAAAGGAATGTAACTCAAAGCAGAAGACAGTGTCGCATTGTGGGTCGGGGTAACGGCGCGGATAGGGACTAACACAGGCAGGGATCATTACGCGTCTACGTCAGCATCGAAGGGGTTTGTGGAGACGGAAGTGTGCGAGGGTCGAGACTCGACAATCTAGGAGGGGAGATAGAAATTTCGAAGTCATGAGATGCAGGGCAAAGATAAGATGATTGCTACCAGCGGACAATGGGATGGCCAAAGTCAACACAATCAAAGGAGACAAGAGCTGAGCTCTGTCAACTATTGAAAAGGATAAAGAGGAGCCGTAATGAAAAAGTAGTTTCATTTTAGCGAAAAGGGGGATCAGAATGTCAGAATTTCAAATATCTATTTTCGACAAAGACACGAAACTTGAAGAAGAGGGTAGGATGGGCCAAACAGAGGTCCTGATTTTGCCCCGAGATAGAGGATATACCAGACAGTTCGATCTTCACTAACGACAATGTTCATCATGTGTTCTAAAACCGGGTGGGTGCTGGGAGGCTGACTTGCGTAGAATATGCACTATGACTTTTCCCGTTTATTTTCAATACCTTTATATCTTCATAAATCCAGGTATATTTGATAGAAAACTTAAAATAAAATATGCCTTCTTTTACTCAGGCCCAGCCAGTTTCAATCACGAGAGAGAGAGAGAGAGAGCGAAAGAGCATAAAAGAACTCACCGGTGGAGAGGCGGAAGAAGAAACCTGTATTTCGTCTTGAATGTCTCTCAGGAAGGAGGGCACTGCAGTGAGGTGAAGTGACTCCAACTGGCTTCCACCGTCGTGATCGTCGTTGTGAGGGTGTTGCAAGGACGAGGGGGTGACAAGGATGCCTCGACGAGAGGCACTGGCGGTGGCGGTCAGGGCAGGGGGCGCAGAGGCCGAACAGAAGGGACATTCGAAGGGAGGACTGAAGTCAACCTCCTGCTGCTCCTTCTTCTGATGGACAGCGGCAGCAGCAGGAACAGCAGACTCCCGAACCTCCGTCTGGCGCGTCTTAAGCTCCGCTAAGCAGT